GGAAACCCTATGGGGCAATTATACTCTCTCCTGTAGGGGTGTTAAAGAGTCGGAATCAACTTGACAGCAATGAGTTTAGTTTTTTTGGTTTTATCTTCTCTTCAATGAAAAGTCTGTTCATGTCCTTTGCTCATTTCCTGATTTCAGTCTCTGGTATTTTTTTTTAATTGTTCAATTTTGAGAGTTATTTGTATATGCTTGATATTAGTCTTTTGTTAGATATGAGGTTTGTGAATATTTTTCTCAGTCTGAAGTTTATCTTTTCATCTTTTTCACATGGCATTTGACAAAGCAAACATTTCTAATTTTGATAAGGTTCAGATTATCAATTTGGCCTTCTAGGGATCATGCTATTGGTAATAAGTTTAAGAATTCTTTGCCAAGCCCTTGATCTTGAAGATTTTCTCCTGTTTTTTTTTTTTTTTCTCTTTTTTACTAAAAGTTTTATACTTTTGAGTTTTTAAAAAAAAAAAAAATGCATATCCTCTGTGAGACAACTCTAATGACGTATGTCTGCGAGTGGAATTGTATGCACCATTAGAAGAATTCCACGATCAGTAGTGGGGGCAAGGGGAGCAAATCAGAGAGGGTCAGGGAGTCAACAGAGATGCTGAGACAGAAAAGGGATACAGAAAAGGCCTGCACAGCACAAGAGGTAAATAGTCACAGGCCAAGGCAGAGTAAGGCTGAGAAATTCAGCTGAGATGTTTACTGTTAATTTTCCCATTGTCTTTCTGGGCAGGATTCCTTCTCACAGTGACAGCATGCTGCTTTCCTTCTGCAGTAATAACTGTCACATCCATGGGAGCATAGGTTGAGGCTGAGAGATGAGACAGAGGCAAGACCTTGTCATTGGAATTGAAAGAAAACAGACATTTGTGGGACTTTTAATCATGGTGTTGACATTCAGAATCTATCATGAACTGTATCATGTTTATTTTGCCATTTATGATTTATCTCAAGGATTTGAATCAAACAAGCAAGGAAAGAAAAATAGAAAAATTAATGATTTTCCATGGAAGTTAAGTGACTTCCAAAGTTGAGAACACAGAGAGAAACGCAGAACTAGCATTTTAAGTGGTCTCTACACTGAAAATATGAGGACCATTATAAAAACAAAGAAAGCATCCATACTTAGTGAAATTGATGGCTACATGTCTCCAAGACACAAAATTCTGTTACAGCTGCAGGATTTATGAATGAAAATGTCACCTAATTGTGTATTGCCTTAAAAGCCAAAGAAAACATACTGAGTTAAACTCAGGTTAAAACATCTTGCTCAGGTAAATACTAGGTATCTTTTAAAGAAGAAATCAAAGAAATATTTAAAAATAGGAGAGGTAAGAAATCTATGAGGGTCTTAGTATCGTCCTGGCATGAAACTCTGTCCTTCTTAAAGCTACTTTTTCCACATGTTGTGTTCAGTGAAGTTTTAAATATAGTTTCAAGCTGGCAGCACGCTGACTGAACCAGTTCAGTATCTTCTGGGCTTCTTCCCTACCTGCTTTCTCACTCTTTATGACACCACCACCCATCTGTCAGTTCGTCATACGGTAGTGGTTTGCATGTTGCTACGAATACCTGTAGGGTCATTCGTGGTGGACAGGTTTCAGCAGAGCTGAAAATCAGAGAGGGTCAGGGAGCCAATGGAGACGCTGAGAATGAAAAGGGGTACGTATAGGATGGAATATCACAAGAGGTAAATAGTCACAGGCCAAGGCGAGCAACACAGCGGCATTCAGCTGAGATGCTTACCAGTAGTTCTCCCATTGGTTTCCAGGGGAGGCTGGCTGGTCACAACGACAGAATGCGGCTTCACTTCTGGAGTATCAGTAAAGACTGTAAAATCCGTGGGAGCAGAGGTCAGGGCTGCGAGACAGACAAGGCCTTGTCATTGCAATTGAAAGAAACAGACATTTGTGGGACTTTCAATCATCATGTTGACACTCAGAATCTATCATGAAATATATCATATTTATTTTGTCATTTTCTATTTATTTCAAGGGTTTGAATTAAATAAGTAAAGAATCAAAAGTAGAAAAATTAACGATTTTTCATGGAAGTTAAATGACTTCAAAATTTGAGAACATAGAGAGGAGAAACGTAGAACTAGCATTTTCAAGTGGTCTCTACACTAAAAATGAGGACCACTGTAAAAACAAAGGAATGCATCCATGCTTAGTGAGATTGATGGCTACGTGTCTCCTAGACACAAAATTCTGTTACAACTACAGGATTTGTAAGTGAAAATGTCACCTAATTGTGTATTGCCTTAAAAGCTAAAGAAAACATTAGGAGTTAAACTCTGGTTAAAATATCTTGCTTATGTAAATACTAGCTATCTTTTAAAAAAGAAGTCAAAGAAATTATTTAAAAATAGGAGAAGTAAGAAATCTTTGAGGGTCTTCGTATCATCTTGGCATGGAACTCAGCGCTTCTTAAAGCTACTTATTCCACATGCTGTGTTCAGTGAAATTGTAAATATGCTTTAAAGGTGGCAACAATCTGATTGAAACAGTTTGGTATCTTTCAGGCTTCTTCCCCACCTGCTTTCTCACTGTCTATGCTTTGATACCGTCACCATCTGTCAGTCTGTCATACTGTGGTGCTTTCATGTTGCTATGATACTGGAAGGTATGCCACAGGTATTGCAAAATACAAGAAGGCTCAGGCATGGTGAACAGGCTGCAGCAGAACACTGAGACTAAGACTGACTAGCAAGAACAGGTTAATGATCTACTTCTAAAATTTAGCCAGTGAAAACCCTAAGGGTCACACCAGAATATTGTCCTATATAGTGCAGGAATATGAGATCCCTTCGTTGAAGGAACTACATAACGGCCACAACAATGGACTCAAATACCAATGATCAAGAAGATGGTGCAGGGTCAGGCTACATTTCGTTCTGTCATACCTGGGGTTGCCATGAGTCAGAGCCAACTGGAGGACAACTAAGAGCAATATGATTAAGCATGCCACTAGTGTTTCTTCTAGGAAGTTCACAATGCTCCAAGTCTATTACCTATAATCTCTTTTACTTACTCTTATTGTAACATAGGCAATTTGAGAGCATATGTTGATTCAATGGTTGGTTCTATAAGCATTTTCTGTTCTCCTGGTAAGAACGCTTGTGTATCACAAGGTAAGCAGAACTTACTCCTCTTTCTGAATTCATCTTCACTCTCACCACTCTCTTCAGTTCTTTTCCTGGTCTATTGTGCGGAGTCTGAGCATTATCAACTCTTTAGTTCCAGCTTCTCATTTGAATGGAGTTACACATATGGCACCAAACACAGGAGATTACCATCATCCCCGTTTATTGGAACATTTTATTTTCAAAGTCTTTGTTCTCAAAGCCACTAGGATTCCAGGATAACAAAAGTGGCAAGTAATTGTAATGCAAAATAGAAAAGGAGGATGTTGAAATTAAGTCAGGCCAACTAGAAACCTTATTATTGAAAAAGGTACCCACACAAATGTAAACACATTCACAATGAATTCTCTAATAGTTAATGTAGTGACCTGAAATAAAAATTAGAATTGCAATATCATGGTACAAATTCTAAGAAAACGAGAAGCTCAACTTACCCAGAGAGAAGAGCTTTATTGGCATAGATTTTTTTCTTTAATTTGAAACTTTGATTTGTTGTTGTCTTTGGTGGTGTTAGGTGTCGTCAAGTTGGTTCCGACTCATAGCAACCCTCTGTACAACAGAATAAAATACTGCCCCGTCCCGAGCCATTTTCATGATTGTTGTTTATGCTTTAGGTGAATTGTTGCAGCCACTGTGTCAATCCATCTCATTGAGGGTTTTCCTCTTTTTTGCTGACCCTCTGCTTTACCAAGCATGATGTCCTTCTCCAGGGACTGATCCTTCCTTATAACATGTCCACCATCCTTGCTTCTGAGGAGCATTTGGGTTGTACTTCTTCAAAGACAAATTTGTTCGTTCTTCTGGCCGTCCATGGTATATTCAATATTCTTCACCAACACCATAATTCAAAGGCGTCAATACTTCTGCAGTCTTCCTTATTCATTGTCCAGCTTTCACATACATATGAGACAATTGAAAACACCATGGCTTGGATCAGGCGCATCTTAGTCCTTAAAGTGACATCTTTACTTTTCAACACTTTAAAGAGGTTTTTTTTGCATCAGATTTGCTCAATAAAATGCATGGTTTGATTTCTTGACTGCTGCTTCCATGGATGTTGATTGTGGATCCAAGTAAAATGAAATCCTTGACAACTTCAATCTTTTCTCCATTTATCATGATGTTGCTTATTGGTTCAGTTGTGGGGATTTTCATTTTCTTTATGTTGAGGTGTAATCCATACTGAAGGCTGTAGTCTTTGATCTTCATCAGTGCTTCAAGTCCTCTTCACTTTCAGCAAGCAAGGTCATGTCATCTGCATATCAAGGGTTGTTAATGAGTCGTCCACCAAGCCTGATGCCCTGTTCTTCTCCATATATTCCAACTTCTTGGATTATTTGCTCAGAATATACATTGAATAAGTGTGACGAAACGATACAACCCTGACACAGACCTTTCATGACTTTATACCAAGCAGTATCCCCTTCTTCTGTTCAAACGACTGCTTCTTGTTCTATGTACAGGTTCCTCATGCACACAGTTATCTCAAATATGATAAAACCCATTAAGAAACATGTTAAACACTTCATTCTTCAGATGGTGTGTTTCTGTGAACTATAAATGTCAATTATAAAAGAAGGAAAAAGAGTGACTCTTACATTGCCTAACTCAAAGTTTCAAATTAATTAGATTATAATGTGCATACTCTAAGTCAGACAATATTTTTCATAAATATTATATGCTATGGAGACATCTATTAAAAGCCTGAAGTGATCGTTTCAGTGCAAAATCCCTGATAGAGCTTCATTATATTTTTCTTTCTAAATTAACGTTGCAGGCTTCTAACGGATGCTTTCATTAGTTGTGGATATTATCAGCAAAATTTGGCAAAATAAAATCTGTCACTGTGGAATATTCATTAAGTTCAGTTTCTGTCAGTCAATCTTAGATGTTTTCTAAAACTTATGATTTCAGTGAGAATCTAAAAGCTAAGTGAGAAACTAAAAATCCCCAAACAAACCCCCTTCTTATGGTCCATAATAAAAAGGGCATTATATGTCTTTTGTATTTCATAATTGCCAAACAACTGGCTCTTCTTTCATTTTTTTATGCCCAGAGGCACTCCTTTAGAAGGTTGTTCTAATGCTCTATGGAATGAAAAACAAAAATCTATACTAATTTAAATACATATCCTTCATGACACAACTGCAATAAAAGTGTGTGGGTTTCTATGCACCATTAGAAGAATTCCACGGTCAGTGGGGAAAAAGGGAGAAAATCTGAGAGGGCAAGGGAGTCAACGGAGATGCTGAGACAGAAAGAGATACACAAAAGGCCCGCATAGAGCAAGAGGTAAACAGTCACAGGCCAAGGCAGAGCAACCCTGGGAAATTCAGCTGAGATGCTTACCGGTAATATTCCTATTGATTTCCTTGGGATGCTGACAGTTCATAATGAGAGTATATGGCACTGATTCTTGATAAATGAGTATGAAATTCATGGGAGCACACGTTGGGGCTGCAAGATGAGACAAAGACAAGGTCTTGTGAGTGAAATTGAAAGAAAACAGACATTTGTGGAACTTTTAATCATGATGTTGACACTCAGAATCTATCATGAAGTGTATTTTATTTTGCCATTTACAATTTATTTCAAGGGCTCGAATTAAATAAGAAAACAAAAAAGAGAAAAATTAATGATTTTCCATGGAAATTAAGTGACTTCCAAAGAAGAGAACATAAAGAGGAGAAAAGAGGAATTGGCATTTTCAAGTTATCTCCACCCTAAACATATGAGGACCATTATAAAAAACAAAGGAATATATACGTATTTAGTGAGGTTGTTGGCTACACGTCTCCAAGAGACAAAATTCTGTTACAACTGTAGGATTTATAAGTGAAAAAGTCATCTAATTGTGTATTGCCTTAAAAGCCAAACAATACATAATGAGTTAATCTCAGGTTAAAACATCTTGCTTAGGCAAATACTGGGTATCTTTTAAAGAAGTCAAAGAAATATTTAAAAATTGGAAAGGCAAGTAGTCTATGACAGTCTTAGTGCCACCCTTGCAGGAAATTCTGTCCATGCTTCATAAAGCTAATTTAACCACATTTGTGTTCAGTGAAATTTTAAATATACTTAAAGGTGTATCAAACTGACTGAACTAGCTCAGCATCTTCTGGGCTTCTTTGCCACCTGCTTTCTCACTCTCTATGTGACACCACCACCCGTCTGTCAGTTTGTCATACTGTGGAGGCTTGCATGTTGCAATGATACTGGAAGCTATAACACTGATATTTCAAATACGAGAAGGGTCACCCATCGTGGACAGGTTTCAGCAGAGCACGCAGACTAAGACTGACTTGCAAGATGGCTTAATGATTTACTTCTAAAAATTATCCAATGAAAATCTTAAGTGTCACAACAGAATATTATCCTGGTGCTGGAAGATGAGCCCCTAGGTTGGAAGGAACTACACAGTGGCTGCAACAATGCACCAAATACCAACAATCATGAAGATGGTGCAGGATCAAAGTTTCTTTCCATCATATGTGGGGTTGCCATGAGTCAGAGCCAACTGGAGGACAACTATAGCAATATGATTTGGCATGCAGTTAGTGTTCCTTCTAGGTAGATCACAATGCTCCAAGTTTATTATCCATAATGTCTCTTAGTTACTCTTAGTTTGACATAGGCAGTTCCAGAACATAGGCTGATTCTATGGTTGGGTCCTGGAAACATTTTCTAATCTCCATGAAGGAATGCTTTTGTATCACAAGGTAAGTAGAACTTGGTCCTCTATCTGAATTCATCCTCACTCTCACCACTCTCTTTGGCTCTTCTGTTGGTCTATTGTGCAGACTCTGAACATTATCAACACACTAATTTCAGTGCCTCTTTTGAATGGAGTTCCACACATGGAGTGAAATACAGGAGATGATGAATCATTCCCATTTATCAGATCATTTTATTTTCAAAGTTTTGGTTGTTAAAGCCACTAGGATTCCAGGTTAACGAAAGTGGCAAATAATTGTAATATCCTCACAACACATGTAAGATATTAAAATTTTCTCAAAAAACTAAGAAGGAGGATGAAAAGAAGGAGAAATAGAAAGATGAAGAAGAACACAGAGAAGAAGAAAAAGGAGGAGAAGGAGAAGGAAGAGAGGACTAAGCAGCAGCAAACAATGAAAGGTCAAGTGTAGTTGATTCCTAGTAAAGAGACTGCATATTTATGTGTTAATGAACTTGTTGAATATCTTAGATCAGGGACCTTCTTGCAAGAAATGCAGATTTGAAATAGCAAGACAACAGAACTGAAAGAAGAGTTGTTCTCATAAAGAGTTAATTAAAGATATTTTCTAGCCCAGGTAGGAAGGTAAGATAGAGTCATAAATTTATGTAGATTATTATACCAAACATAATAAAGATTTTTGAATTTATGGAAGTAATTAAAAGATCTGTCTTTTTAACTAGTCAGAATAGCGTATTTTCTCTTAATTGTGCTAAAATTCAAATTGATGTTTATTTAAAAAGCAATCAAATGGAGATGAATAGATTGCTTCACTGAATCTGTTATATTTAAAAAGATGAAATAGCTCTTCAACTTCGTTGTTGTTGTTAGGTGCCATTGAGTCAGTTCTGACTCATAGTGACCCTATGTACAAGAGAATGAAAAACTGCCCAGTCCTAGGCCACCGTCACAATCTTTGCTATGCTTGAGCACAGTGAGTCCATCTCCTTGAGGGTCTTCCTCTTTATTGTTGACCCTCTGATTTACCAAGCGCGATGTCCTTCTCCAGGGACTGGTCCCTCTTGATAGCATGTCCAAACCAAGTAAGATGAACTCTCTCCATCCTTGCTTCTAAAGAGCATTTTGGCTGTACTTCTTCCAAGACATATTTGTTTGTTCTTCTAGCAGTTCATGGCAATCTCAATGTTCTTTGCCAACACCATAATTTAAAGTCATCAGTTCTTACTCAGTCTTCCTAATTCATTATCCATCTTTCACATGCATATGAGGCAATTGAAAACACCATGGCTTGGATAGCTGCACCTTAGTCCTCAAAGTGACATATTTGCTTTTTAAGATTTTAAAGAGGTCTTTTGCTGCAGATTTGCCCAGTGCAATACGTACATTTGATTTCTTGACTGCTGCTTCCATGAGCATCAATTGTGGATGCAAGTAAAATAAAGTCCCTGACAACTTCAGTATTTTCCCAATACATTGAAGAGTTTGTCATTAAAGAATATATATATAACAACAATCTACTTCACCAGTTATGCAAGTTCCTTTTCCTTAAGCCAAATGAATGTTAGCGAGTAGAGAGGCTCTTCTTAGAATTAATGTCTTAAATGTTTTTATCATATGAACTACACTATTTTATAATATTTGGAAGAAAATGTGTCCTTAATTACTTTGATGATCTCTGCTAAATAGAAAAGAATGTTTCTTGACTGCTCCTCTCCAATCTCTAGAAGGGTGCCTGGAGGGGTCTGTTAGAGACATACATCCGATCAGGATACTCCCTGGTTTAAATTTCTTCAATGACCATCTATCTTCTTTAGATGAAAGGTAAAAAATAAATAATAAACAAATACCAGGTCTTCCATGATTTAGGCACTACTTTCTTTTACAGTGTCATTTCACCTTGTTGCCTCATGAAGGCTGTGCTCCAGACACTTTAAATATTTGTAACCATCTCCTGAGCACATCCTCTCTGTGACACCAGCTTGTGTGTTTTTGCACATGCTGTTCCTGCCCTTTGGAAGGCCCTGGAATGGGTAACTGATCAGCCACCCAGGCCACAGCTCAAACATTACTTCCTCTGTGAAACCTCTTATTTCTCCAGACAGAATTAGGTTTTTTGATCTATTTTCTCCGATTTCAACTTCTCCCAAATTCTTGGATTGAACTTCTCATGTTCCTTCAGGTATTCTTTTTTTTTTTTTTTTTAAATGTTTTTCTTCTTCACTGTATTATAATTCTTTCAAAGATACAGCCTGTCATGGATTGAATTGCGTCTCCCAAAAATGTGCGTATCAATTTGGCTGGACCAAGATTACTGGTATTATGTGATTGCCCACCATTTTGTCATCTGATATGATTTTCTTATGTGTTGTAAGTCCTGCCTCTATGATGTTAATGAGGGAGTTGGGCGGCAGTTGCGTTGATGAGGCAGGATTCAATCTATGGGATTGGATTGTGTCTTTAGCTGGTTTCTTTTGGGGTATAAAAGAGAGAAGCAAGCAGAGAGACTGGGGGACTTCATACTGCCAAGAAAGCAGTGCTGGGAGCACAGCGTGTCCTTTGGACCCATGTTTCCTGTGTGGCAAAGCTCCTAGTCTGGGGAAGATTGATGACAAGGATCTTCCTCCAGAGCCAACAGAGAGACAAAGCTTTCCCCTGGAGCTGATTCCTTGAATTTGGGCTTTTAGCCTATTTTACTGTCAGGAAATAAATTTCTCTTTGTTAAAGCCATCCACTTGTGGTATTTCTGTTATAGCAGCACTAGATAACTAAGACAGCAAGGATTTCATTTTACTTGGATCCACAATCAACGCCCAAGGAAGCAGCAGTCAGGAAATCAAACGACAAATTGCATTGGGCAAATCTGCTGCAAAAGACCTCTTTAAAGTATTAAAAAAAAGCAAAGATGTCACTTTAAGGACTAAGGTACACCTGACCTAAGCCATGGTATTTTCAGTTGCCTCATATGCATGCAATGAATAAGGAAGACAGAAGAGGAATTGACACCTTTGAATGATGGTATTGGTGAAGAATATGCAATATACCATGGACTGCCAAAAGAACAAACAATCCTCTCTTGGAAAAAGTACAGCCAAAGTGCTCCTTAGAAGCAAGGATGGCAGGACTTTGTCTCACATACTTTGGACATGTTATAAGGAGGGACCCATCCCTAGAGAAGGACATCATGCTTGGTAGAGTAGAGGGTGAGAAAAGAAGAAAGCCCTCAAGGAGATGGACTGACACAGTGGCTGCAACAATGAGCTCAAGCATAGCAAAAATTGTGAGGATGGCCAAGGACTGGGCAGTTTTTTGTTCTTTTGTACATAGGATCACTATGAGTCAGAACTGACTCAATGACACCTAACAACAACAGGAAGAAGGAGACTAGAATAAAATGTTCATGCAGTCGTTGGCGGGTAACTTCATGTTTTATAAATTTTCAGGAAATAAAATTAAAAAAATAAAAATAAAAATTTTATCATTGACTCATCAGCAGGATTTCTGTCCTCTAGGACCACTGAGCACATATGATCCCAGATAATGAGTATCAAAATTCATAACTTACATCAAAAATTCTGAATTTATGTTTTAATCAGCATGTCTTCATAAATGAGAACACATAGTATCAACAAAAAGTCAAAGGAAAAAATAATTCAGTCTTGTAAGGGTTATTTCATTCACTTTATTTCCTTCTCACAGTTATAAAATCTGCAGACACTTCTAAATTACTTCTTGCTTCTCATCATAACCCAGGGATATCATGTACATGCTGTTTAAACTTTTATCTGGATTATTATCTGATTTGACAATCACCTTTGCTACTAACCACATTTGAAATTAATATCTTTTTGTCAGCAGTGAGTCTCACCATTGGTGTCCCTATAAGGTTGGACAGTTGATGAGAAATCAATAGGGTTTATTTATCAACTCAGATGTTGGTGTGCACTTTGTGTTTATGAAAGAGAAAAATGAATGAATGAATTTTCTTGCATTAAGAGGAAATTGTTAGTCTTCTTTCACTCAGGGAAGACAAAATTTCTTACATTTAGTTCCTTTCAAATAAAAAAAAGAAGGGTCTTAGTTGTCCCCCCAGCAGGTCACTCATTCAGCTGTTGTTATTCTTCCTAAGAGACTGTGAACATTGGCTTCCAGGGCAGGATCTTGGGAGGAAGAGTTAATCAACGCATGCACAGTGTGTAAAATAGAAAAGGAGGATGTTGAAATTAAATCAGGCCAACTAGAAAACTTATTATAGAAAGAAGTACCCACAAAAATGTAAAAATATTCAGAATTAACTTGCTAATAGTTAAGGTAGTAACCAGAAATAAAAAATTAGAACTGCAGTGCCATGGTATAAATTCTAAAAAAAGAAACTCAACTCACCCAGAGAGAAGAGCTTTGTTGACACAATTTTTTTTGCTTTTTTTTCTTTAATTTGAAGCTGTGTGGTTTATTTTACCTCAAATATGATAAAACCTATTAAGAACCATGTTAAGCCCTGCATTCTCCAGGCGTTGCATTTCAGTGAAGTATAAATGCCAAATATAAAAGAAGAAAAAATAGTGACTCTTACATGTAGCTAACCCAACGACTCAAGTTAATTAGACTATAATGTGCACATTCTGAGTTAGACAATATTTTTCATAATAGTTATTTGCAATGGTGACATCTATTAAAGCCTATAGGGATCATTTAAATGCAAAATCCCTGAGAGAAGTCTATTATATTTTTTATACTAAATTAACATTACAGGCTTCTAATGGATGCTTTAATTAGGTATGGATGTTATCAGCAAAACTTGGCAAAATAAAATCAGTCACTGAGTAATATTCATTAGGTTCAATTTCTGTCAGTCAATACTATGTTTTTCTGAACATTATGATTTCAGTGAGAGGCTAAAAGCTAAGTGAGAAACTAAAAACCCCAGTCAAACCTCCCTCTTCTGTGCCATACAAAAATGCGTGGTCATTAGGTGTCTTCCATATGTCATAATTGCCAGTCGGCTTCTCTTCCATCTTTTATGCTCAGAGCCACTCCATTAAAAGGTTGTTCTAATGCTCCATAAAATGAAAAACCAAAGTTCTATGCTAATTTAAATACATATCTTTCATGAGTCAACTGGAATGAGGTGTGTGTGTATGTGTGTGGGTTTCTATGCACCATTAGAAGAATTCCACTGTCCATGTGGGGCAAAGGGAGAAAATTAGAGAGAGTTAGGGAGAAATGGAGATGCTGAGACAGAAAATGATACAGAAAAGTCCTGCATAGTGCAAGAAGTAAATAATCACAGACGAAGGAAGAGCATGCTGGAAAACTCAGCTTAGGGGCTTACCGAAAATTTTCCAGTTGGCTTCCAGGAGAGGCTTGCAGCTCACAATGACAGCACGTGGTTTCCCTTTTTCAGGAATGACTGTCAAATACATGGAAGCAGAGTTCGGGTCTGTGAGATGAGACAGGGAGAAGGTCTTGTCATTGGAATTGAAAGAAAACAGACTTTTGTGAGACTTTTAACTATGGTGTTGACACTCAGAATCTATCATGAACTATATTATGTTTATTTTGTCATTTACAATTTAGTGCAAGGGTTTAATTTAAATAAGCAAAGAAAAAAAGAGAGAAAAATTAATGATTTTCCATGGAAATGACTTAGGAGTTAAGGAGCCATTATTCCCTGTCCTTGAATATAAAGAAAGTGACCCAGCTGTAGCAGCAAGGACTCACAAGGACACATCAACTGGTCCTTAAGGGATAAAAACAGTAGCTAGGACAACCTTGGAAAACATTTTTTAGGAAACATTTCACATAAACAAATACTTAGATAGAGCACATAAGAGCCACATATTTTCCACTCTTACATTTTTCTATTCACATTTAGTAAATAGCAAGATTTGTTGGACCAATGAAGACTCTCCTGACTGTCATTAATGAAGTTTATACCAATGATTATTGAGAAAGACAATTTAAAATGTAGAATCACAGTGATTTAACAGTTTTTAGTCAATCTGTGAAAAGATGAATATTTTAATGATTTTACCCATTTGTAATGTCAATATATAGTGATAATTCTGTAATATTGTTTATACTCAGGCAGTCCTAGCTCTGGCAGCATGCTTGTCCATTTCCTACTTTTGCCTATTTTGTAACATTCTCTGAACTTGGGAGACATAGCTCTGGCAGCATGCTTGTCTGTTTCCCACTTTTGCCTGTTGGAACATAGGCTGAATAAAATCTTTCTTCTTGCTTTACTATAACTTTGTAGAGATTTTATCCTAGGACAATTAAATGACCCAGTTGCAGCAGGATTTTTCTGAAGCCTAGGATCCAGTCGACCTTGAGGAGACATGGACTGTGGAGCAGAAGCCAGCAAAGAGAGGTCCTGTCTTCTGTACCCCAAGCATTCACACTCCACATAACTTTGACACCAGCGGGGTAAGTGCTCTCAGGAAATGAGCCTTTGCTTATTCTTTCTTGATCTTTTTCTCATGTTTTCTAAAGTTTTTTTTCAGAGTTTGTTTGAAAACTGGTTGTTAGATTAAAGAGACTCTTTCTTAGATTTTTGCTTGATGTTTGGTTAAAAGTGACATCTAGGGACTCTGTTGGTGAACTGCAGTTTGATGTCCAGATTCAGGTGTTTGAAACATTAAAAAAGTAATTCTATCTTCAAAGAGCTCTGGGTCACAGTAAGTGCAAAATTCAGACATGGGTCAAGGAGTGAAAGCTATTAGGGCAGTCATAGGTGCTCATCACGAGCTTTAAAGACTCCCATGACGGGATAAAGTAGTCGCAAGACAGGCTAGAGTGCTGGGCTGCCGGCCACCCACAAGCAACATTTCACCCAATGAAGACACATATTGGTCTGTCTTAGCCATCTAATACTGCTATAGCAGAAATACCACAAGTGGATGGCTTTAACAAAGAGAAATTTAGTTTCTCACAGTCTAGTAGGCTAGAAATCCAAATTCACGGCATCAGCTCCAGGGGAAAGCTTTTTCTCTCTATCAGCCTTCTCATCAGTGTTCCCCTGGACTAGGAGCTTCTCTGCACAGGGATCCCAGGTCCAAAGGATGCGCTCTGCTCCCAGCACTACTTTCTTGATGGCATGAGGTCCACCACTCTCTGCTTGCTTCCCTTTCCTTTTATCTCTTGTAAGATAAAAGGTGGTTCAGGCCACACGCCAGGGAAACTCCCTTTACATTGGATCAGGGATGTGACCTTAGTAAGGGTGTTACTATCCCACCCTAATCCTCTTTAACATACAATTACAATCACAAAATGAGGGCAACCACCCCATACTGGGAATCCTGGTACAGCCAAATTGATACACACACTTTTTGGGGAACATAATTCAATCCATGACATTGGTCTAAGCAAAAAAACTGTCCAGACCTGTGGCATTCCTCATTAGGTTTCTTTTTGTGACTTAGAGAAAATCTGGAAAATAGTGCTCTGTTTTGAAACCTCTTTCTTTTCACCTTTACAAATTTAAAATGGGAAATAACCAAGAGAAAAGTAAGAATGATGGCCCACCATCTGGCACACCCACTGCCTATATGTTAAAGGATTTGGGGCCTAATTCAGCTCAGTCTTTAGAAAAATGGCATGATTTTAAAAAAGAAAAGTTTTCATTATAATTACCTACATGGGGGAATTCTGAATTGGCCAGATTAGACTTTTTAAAATGTAAATTAGAAGCAGAAGTATCTAAAATAAATTAAAATCAGTGGGAAGTATTCTTCTTACACTCCTACTGAAATGCCTTTTAGCTCTTTAGGGTTTTTTTTGTTGTTGGTGGTGGTGGTCTTGTATTTTTACTTTTGCTTCTGTTTGTCTTTTTATGTTGACCTTGATTTTGGTGCACAAATTGGCTTGATAAAAGTTTTTACAAAGGATCACAGCATCTTTTGAGCCACCCCATTCCATGGCAGTCTCTTGCTAGGGTTTTGCCTTGCCTCTGAGAAACCAAAAGTAATGCTTCTCTTTCAAATTCTAAAAATTTTGTAAGAACATATTTGGGTGTAATCACCAAATCTTGCAAGAAAATAGGTGATGTCAATTCACAGGGGGGAGTGGCAGCTCTTGATCAGTTTTATGAAATTCACAGGGGGAGGTGGCAGCTGCAGATCTGTTTTATGATATAGTTTCTCAATAAAGAATCACAATGTTGAAATTAAAATCAGTAGCTACTTTAAAGTACTTTACAACCTGATTTCCTCTTTAAGGAACTTTCTTTTGATGCTTGGGTTTTCTCAAAAGGTCTTATATTCCTACATCTGAGGGTCTGGTAAATTAATACGTTTTATCTAGAACCTGTTTTTTTCTGTTAAATTGAGTTGATCTTATAAAAAGTTGCTATATACACTTTAAGAAACCAGGTTCCCCATATTCTTGTTTTGTGTGGTATAAACCCTTTCTTGGAGCTGACCTCGCATACTAGTGAGTTTACGTGGTCTTTCTATCTCGTTTTGTTCTGAGAGCTTGCTTCTGGTCTAGAATGTTATATCTGAGTTTCTAGCTTGTATCAGGTTGGATGCTATGGCTGACAGTTGCTGTTTTTTCTAACGCTGTGTTAAAACTTCATTTCTTTCCTAGTTCAAGAAAAACTGTGTCTTGTGTCTGTCTTATGATTTAGAAAGCATGCCAGAGATAGGGACTATGTCAATCTTAAAAGTGAAAGCTTTCTAAGTAACTTAAGCTAGATATTATGAAATATGTTTTATTTAAGGAAAAAATTAATGTAAAACTAGCAATTCCAGAATGGGAAAATGGAGGCACAGGACAAGCCTAGAGAAAGAGAGAGAGAGAGAGAGAAGGCTAGCCAAGAAATGATGGATTCATTTACAAAATTGCTAAAAAGCTTTGGTAATTTCTGGATAATAAAAGTTGTGATAAAGAGAAAGCAAAACTTCTTACCAAGAGAATAATAAAAGGGAAAAATCAGTTACCTTTTGTCTTTTAAAATATCTAAGCCAGCCTAAGCATATGTAAATGAATTTAGGATGACTAGTTCTTGTCTCTAATCATGAACCAAAAATAGAGAGGGCAGGGCAGGATCAGATCTCCTTGGCCCCAAGCATCTGAGGTCATATAGCTCCAGGGAAGCTTTTGAAAGACCCCTCACAACTAGATAAGGACTTTTTTTAAGACAAAAGAAAATTACAGTCTCACTATAACAGAACATCAATTCCTCGAATACAAGTTCAAGTTGAAGCTAAGAAAATTAGACCAATTCCACGAGAGCCAAAGGACGACCTTGAGTATATCCACCCTGCATTTAGAGACTATCTCAAGAATAGATTTGATGCATTGAACACTAATGACATAAGACCAAATGAGTTGTGGAATGTCGTCAATGACACCATACATGAAAAAAAGCAGTCATTGAAAACACAGGAAAAGTACTCACTTTGGCAGCACATATACTAAAATTGGTACAATACAGGGAAGATTAGCATGGCATCTAAGCAAGGATGACATACAAATTTCTGTAGTGTTCCATATTCTTACACTAAATAGACAAGAGATAAGTGGTAACTTTGGTGAGGGGTAAGACAGTACACAATACTGGGGAAGCCAGGACAACTTGTACAAGACAAGGCCATGGAAGCTCCATAGACACATTCAAACTCCCTGAGGGACTGAATTGCTGGGCTGAGGGCTGTGGGGACCATGGTCTCAGGAAACATCTCGCTCAATTGGCATAACACAGTTTGTAAAGAAAATGTTCTACTTTCTACTTTGGTGAGTAGCATCTGGGGTCTTAAAAGCTTGTGAGCAGCCATCTAATATACTCCACTGGTCTCATCTTGTCTGGAGCAAGGGAGAATGAAGAAAATCAAAGACACAAGGCAAAGATTAGTGAAAAGGACTAAATGGACCACAACTATCACAGCCTCCACCAGGCAGAATCCAGCAAAACTAGATGGTGCCTGGCAACCACCACTGACTGCTCTGACAGGGATCATAATTAAGGTTTCCAAGCAGAGCTGAAAAAAATGTAGACAAAATTCTAACTTACAAAAAAGACCAGACTTACTGGCCTGACAGAGACTGGAGAAACCTTGAGAGTTGTTGCACATGATCAAGAATTGAAGGTACTGAAGGAAGAAGTCCAAGCTACACCGAAAGCACTGGCAAAAAAACACGGCTCCAAAAATTGACAGAATACCAATTGAGATGTTTCAACAAATGAATGCAGTGCTGGAAGTGCTCACTCGTATATGCTAAGAAATTTGGAAGACAGTTACTTGGCCAACCAACTGGAAGAGAAGTGCCCCTTGACACCCTTTTAGTTCAGTAATGAAGTCACTCCTGAGGTTCACCCTTCAGCCAAAGATTAAGCAGGCCCATAAAACAAAATGAGACTAAAGGGGCACAGCAGCCCAGGGACAAGGACTAGAACGAAAGAGGGGACAGGAAAGCTGGTATTGGGGAACCACAGTTTGAGAAAGAAGAGTGTTGAAATTTCATGGGGTTGGTAACCAATGTCACAAAACAATATGTGTAATAATTGTTTAATGAGAAGGTAGTTTGTTCTGTAAACCTTCATCTACAGTGTAATAATAAAAAATAAATAAAAAGAAAAAAACTAAAGAAATTAAAGGCATACAGATTTTAAAAAGACAGGAAAGGAAGAAAAGATCAAAATGGATGTAAGAAGAGGCTCTAAAACTTGCTCTTGACCTTCAAGTAGCAAAGTGAATGGAAGAAATGATGAAATAGAAGAGTTGAACAGAAGATTTCAAAGGGCAGCTTGAGAAGACAAAATAAAGTATTATAATGACATGTGCAAAGAACTCGAGATAGAAAACTGAAAGGGAAGAACAGGCTCAGCATTTCTCAAACTGAAAGGACTGAAGAAAAAATTCAAGCATCAAGTTGCAATACTGAAGGATTCTATGGACAAAATACTGAACGATGCAGGAAGCATCAAAAGAAGATAGAAGTTATACAGAGAGTCACTGTACCAAAAAGAATCGGTTGATGGTCAGTCATTTCAGGAGGTTACATATGATCAAGAAAAGAAGGTACTGAAAGAAGAAGTCCAAGCTGCACTGAAGGCATTAGCAAAAAACAAGGCTCCAGGAATTGACAGAATACCAACTGAGATGTTTCAACAAATGGATGCAGTGCTGGAAGCACTCACTCGTATATGCTAAGGAATTTGAGGGATGGTTACTTGGCCAACTAACTGGAAGAAATCCATATTTATGTCTATTCCAAAGAAAGGTGACCCAACTGAATGTGGAAATTATCAAACAATTTCATTAATATTACACAAATAAAATTTTGCTGAAGACCATTCAAAATTGGTTGCAGTTACATATCAACAGGGAACCGCCAGAAATTCAAGCATGATTCAGAGGAGGATGTGGAACAAGGGATATCATTGCTGATGTTAGATGTATCTTGGCTGAAAGCAGAGAAGTTGACCTGTGTTTTATTGATTATGCAGAAGCATTTGACTATGTGGTTCATAATAAATTATAGATAACATTGTGAAGAATTGGAATTCCAGAACACTTAATTGTGCTTATTAGGAACCTGTACATAGAGCAAGAGGTAGTCATTCGAACAAGGGGATACTTCGTGGTTTAAAGTCAGGAAAAGTGTGCGTCAGGGTTGTATCCTTTCACCATATTTATTCAATCTGTATGCTGAGAAAATAATCAGAGAAGCTGGACTACATGAAGAGGACTGGGGCAACAGGATTGGAGGAAGACTCATTAACAACTTGCATTATGCTGATGACACAACCTTGCTTGCTGAAAGTGAAGATGACTTGAAGCTCTTACTGATGAAGAGATCACAGATCACAGCCTCAACATGAAGGAAACAAAAACTGGACCAATAAGCAACATCATGATAAACAGAAAAAAGACTGAAGTTGTCAAGGATTTCATTTTACTTGGATCCACAGTCAACACCCAGAGAAGTAGAAGTCAAGAAATCAAACAATGAATTGCATTGGGAAAATCTACTACAAAAGACATCTTTAAAGTATTAAAAAGCAAAGATGCCACTGTAAGGATTAAGGTGCTCCTGATCCAAGCCATGATGTTTTCAATTGCCTCGTACGCTTGTGAAAGCTGGATAATGAATAAGAAAGACCCAAGAATAATTGTGAATTACAATGTTGGTTAAGAATGTTGAATATACCATGGACTGCCAGAAAAAATGAACAAATCTGTCTTGGAAGAAGTATAACTAGAATGCTCCTTAGAAGTGAGGATGGCAAGAGTTCATCTCACATACTTCAGACATGTTATCAGGATGCTCCAGTCCCTGGAGAAGGACATCATGCTTGGTAGAGTGTCATCCAAAAAGAGGAAGACCCTAAAGGAGATGGATTGACACAGAGGCTGTAACAATGAGCTTAAGCATAGTAATGATCATGAGGATGGAGTAGGACTGGGCAGTGTTTCATTCTGTTGTACATAGGGTCCCTATGAGTCAGAACTTACTCGACGGCACCTAACAACAATAAACATAGCTATCAGAAATTGGGTAGATCTCAATCATAAAAGAATTGTAAACAAGTTATCTCCACTGTAGAGGAATTCTAGGAAGCCAAAAAATAGAAATCGCAATGAGACACGCCTGAAATGTCCTAGGGAAATGTTTTTGCCCCTAGCTAGAGACTTAAAATTATATCCATATACTGATGGCCTCATGGCCATATTAAGTTTTGTCATCTGCAGGTAAGTTTTTATTTTGCTGAAAATGTTTCACCAAAATATCTCAACAAAAAGGTGGACTATATTGGACTTGTGAAAAGGTCTATAACTATACTGAATCAAGATTTGCAGAACTCTTATGTAGAAGCCTAGGGGTTCACAGACTGCGGCTAATCCAGAATCACATGGAACAAAAATTAACTACATAGGATTGAGGGGACTAAAAGATTACTCTGGATTTTACTTGGGAATACTGCTGTTGTTTTAAAGTCCTACTTTCTGGATATAAGAAACCATTTTCCTCCTTTCTCCTAAATTATCTAACTAATGGGTTTAAATATTCTAACTCTCAAATTACAAGTTCCTGTTGGTAAACTTATTAAAATTTTAAATATCATAACCAGAGAAATGTCTGAAGTTTGAGCTATGATTTTAAAAAAATAGAATGGGATTAGATTTCCTGTTAGTCTCTCAAGGAACAGTTTGTGCCTTAATAGATAAATGTTACTGTGTTTATATTAATATGCATTCTGAGGTTTTTCAGAATGCAGTTGCTGCCGAAGAATATTGACTATACCGTAACTGCCAAAAGAAGAAGTACAGCCAGAAAGCTCATTAGAAGCAAGGATGGCGAGAGTTCATCTCATATACTGTGGACATGTTGTTAGGAGGGACCAGTTCTTGGAGAAGGATATAGTGCTTGGCAAAGTAGAGGGTCAGTGAAAAAGAGGAAGCCTCTCAACAAGATAGATTGACACAGTAGCTGCAACAATGGTCTCAAGCCTAACAATGATTGTGAAGATGGCACAGGACTGGACATTGTTTTGTTCTCTTATACATAGGCTCACTATGAGTTGAAACTGTCTTAACAGCACTGTCATGGATTGAATTTTGTCCCCTCAAAATATGTGTCAGCTTGGTTAGGCCAGGATTCCCAATATTGTGTGGTTGTCCATTTTGTGATTGATGTAATTTTCCTATATGTTGTAAATTCTAATCTCTGCCTGTGGTTAATGAGGCAAGATTAGATTACGTTTAAGAAGATTAAGGTGAGATGTAACACACTTACTCAGGCCACATCTCTTATCCAATGTAAAGAGAGTTTTATCTCTTGTAAGATAAAAGGTGGCCTGCATCATCTTTTATCTTACAAGAGATAAAAGAAAAGGGAAGCAAGCAGAGAGTTGGGTACTTCACGCCACCAAGAAAGCAGCACCGGGAGCACACCATGTCCTTTGGACCTGGGGTCCCTGAGCCTGAGAATCATCTCAATCAGAGGAAGATTGATGACAAGGACCTTCCTCCGGAGTCACCAGAGAGAAAAAGACTTCCTCTAGAGCTGATGCCCTGAATTTGGACTTGTAACCTACTAGACTGTGGAAGAATAAATTTACCTTTGTTAAAGCCATTCACTTGTGGTATTTCTGTTATAGCATCACTAAATTACTAAGACAGGCACCTTACAACAACAACAACTTAGGAGGTAATTCATTCAGCTGTTGTTATTCTTCCTAAGAGGCTGTGAACATTGGCTTCCATGACAAGCTCCTGGTAGAAGAATTAATCTATGCACAGCATGCAAAATAGAAAAGGAGGATGTTGAAATTAAATCAGACCAACTAGAAAAGTTATTATAGAAAAACTACCCACAAAAATGTAAAAGTATTCACAATGAACTCTCTGATGGTTAATGTAGTGACCTGAAATAAAAATTAGAACTGCAATGCCATGGTACAAATTCTAAGAAAGAGAAACTCAACTTACCCAGAATGGAGCTTTATTGGTACAGGTTTTTTGTTTGTTTGTTTTCTTTAATTTGAAATTGTGTGGTATAGCTTACTCTAAATATGATCAAACCAATGAACTACCATGTTAAACTATGAAGTCTCCAGAAGTTGCATTTCTGGGAAGTTTAAATGCCAAGTATAAAAGAAGAAAAAAGAGATTCTTAAATGTGCTTAACACAATGGTTCAAGTTATTTAGACTATTATATGCACATTCTGAGTTATGCAATATTTTTCATAACAATTATATGCAATAGAGACATAAAACCTAAAGTGATCATTTAATTGCAAACTCCCTGATAGAACCGCATTATATTTTTCATACTAAATTAATATTACAGACTTCTAATGGATACTTTAATTAGGCATGGATGTTATCAGCCATATTTGGCAAAATAAAATCTGTCCCTGTGAAACAGTCATTAAGTTCAATTTCTTCAGTCAATATGAAATGTTTTCTGAACCTTATGATTTCAGTGAGAAGGTAAATGCTAAGTGAGAAACTAAAAATCTCCAGACAAACCTCCTGCACATGTGCCATACAAAATTTCATGATCATTACAATACCCTGGAGAAGGACATCATGCTTGGTAAAGTAGAGGTTCTGTGAAAAAGAGGAAGGCCCTCAATGAGATGGATTGACAGAGTGGCTGCATCGATGGGTTCCAGCATAACAATGATTATGAGTACGGCACAGGACTGCGTAGTGTTTCGTTCTGTTGTGCATGGGGTCCCTATGACTCAGAAGCAACTCGAAGGCACCTAACAACAACACAACAGGTGTCTTTTGTATTTTATAATTGCTATACAATTATGCTCAGAGGCACCCCATTGGAAGATTGTCCTAATGCTCTATAGACTGAAAAACAAAAGGTCTACACTAATTTAAATATATATCCTTCCTGAGGGAACTGGAATGAGATGAGTCTGTGTGAGGCTTTGTATGCACCATCAGGAGAATTCCACTGTCAGTGGGGGGCAAAGGAAGTAAATCAGAGAGAGTCAGGGAGTCAATGGCAATGCTGAGACAGAAAGGGGATACACAAAAAGCCTGTACAGCACAAGAGGTAAATAGTCACAGACCAAGGCAGAACAATGTTGGGAAATTCAGCTGAGATGCTTACCAGTAATTTTCCCACTGTCTTCTAGAGGAGGCTGGCAGCTCCCAAAGACAAAACGCTGCTCCCCTTCTAGATTAATGTCTTTTAAATCCATGTTGGCGGAGTTTGGGTCTGTGAGATGAGACAGAGATAAGGCCTTGTGATTGGAATTAAAAGAAAACAGACATTTGTGGGACTTTTAATCATGGTGTCGTTGCTCAGAATCTATCATGAACTGTATCACTTTTATTCTGCCATTTACAATTTATTTCAAGGGTTTGAATTAAATAAACAAGGAAACAAAAACAAATATCAATAATTTTTCATGGAAGTTCCAGAGGTGAAAATTCAGAGTGGAGGAAAGTAGAACTGACATCTTCCAGTGGTCTCTATACTAAACATATGAAGGCCATTATAAAAACAAAGAAATATACACATACTTAGTGAGTATGATGGCTACATATCTGCAATAGTCAAAATTCTGTTACATTTTGTAGACATGTGAAAAACTGATAGTCTAAATTGAATTAAAATAAAGAAGTTTATTAAAGGTTCAAGGCATCTCTAACTTGAGATCACCATAGCCCATGAAAATGGATCAGTGAAGTCCAAGGCACAGCAATTACAAAGATATTTTTATAGGGCTGGAGCAAAGAATGAGGTCTTCAAAATTTTGATTGGTTTATAGTGATTGATGTGAATAAAAGGGGGGAGAAAGCAATGCATGATTTTCAACATGATTGGTTATGTTAATACAACTGGCATACATTGATTTGCTGAAAGACATAATTACAAGATATGTGGTCTTGGAGGGGGTCTTATGACCAGTCAAAAACAATGGTGTGTTGGATACTTTTGAGAACAAGTTGTTAAAATTACCTTGCCCAGAGCATAAGACCTCCGGGGGAGATCAAACACAAAGTGTTTGATAACATTTGATTACAAATTCAGTCTTAGCTTAACCACAAAGCCTTAATAATAGAGTTAGTTCCTAAGTTACAGAGTTTGAATCTGTGTGAAGGTTACATTAAGCTTTAGCGTTAGTTCAGCCATTTTACTTTTAGGTCAGACAGATCTTTTTATTTTATATCCCATATCAAACCATAGGGTTTGTAAGTGAAAATGTCACCTAATTGTGTACTGTCTTAAAAGCCTAAGTAAACATAACGAGTTAAACTCAGGTTAAAACATCTTGCTTAGGTTAATACTAGCTATCTTTTAAAGAAGAAGTCAAAGAAATATTTAAAGATAGAAGAGAGAAGTGATATTTGAGGAAGACTGAAGACTTGATGCCTTTGAATTACGGTGTTGGTGAAGAATATTGAATATCCAAGGACTGCAAGAAAACTGAATAACTCTGTCTTGGAAGAAGTATAGCTAGAGTGCTCCTTGGAAGCGAGATTTAGTCTCACGTACTTTGGACATGTTATCAGGAGGGACCAGTCCCCAGAGTAGGACATCATACTTGGTAAGGTAGAGGGTCAGTGAAAAGAGAAAGACCCTCGTGAGATTTATTTACACAGTAACTGCGACAATGTGCTCAAACACAGCAACTATTGTGAGGATGGCACAGGACCCAGCAGTGCTTCCTTCTGTAGTACATAGGGTCACCATGAATCTGAACCTACTCGATGGCATCTAACAACAACAACAAGAAGTCTATGAGGGTCTTAATATCATCCTGGCATGAAACAGTGTCCTTCTTAAAGCTTCTTTTTCTACATGTTGTGTTTAGTGAAATTTTAAATATACTTTAAAGGTGGCAGCAAAGTGACTGAACAACTTTAGTATCTTCTGGGTTTCTACCACTTGCTTTCTCACTCTATATGCTTTGACACCACCACCCACCTCTCAGTTTTTCATACTGTGGTGGCTTGAACATTGCTAGGATGTTGGAGGCTATGTCACTGGTATTTTAAATACCAGCAAGGTCACCCATGGTGGACATGTTTCACCAGAGCTTCCAGACTACAGCTGACTAGGAATAAAGGTTTAATAATTTACTTACAAACATTAACCAATGATAATCCTAAGGATCACAACAGAATATTTTCCTATAAAGTGCTGAAAGTTGAGCCCCTAGGTTGGAAGGAACCACACAATGGCCACAATGGACTCAAATATCAATGATCATGAAGATGGTGCAGGATCGGGCAACGTTTCGTTCTGTCATACATGGGGTTGTCATGAGTCAGAGTTAACTGGGGGACAACTAACAGCAACACGATTTGGCATGCAGATAGTGTTCCTTCTAGGTAGTTCACAATGCTCCAAGTCTATTATTCATAATCTCTTTTAGTTACACTTAGTTTCACACAGGCAGTTCCAGAACATACGTAAATTCTATGGTTGGGTTCAAGGATTTTCTGATCACCAACTCGGAATGCTTGTGTATCACAAGGTAAGTAGAACTTGGTCTTCTTTCTGAATTCATCCTCACTCTCACCACTCTCTTTGGCTCTTCTGTTGGTCTATTGTACAGACTCTGAACATTATCAACACTCAAGTCCCAGTTTTTCTTTTGAACATAGTTCCACATATGAGGCCTGTCATGTATTGAATTGTGTCCCCCTAAAATATCTGTCAACTAGGCTAGTCAAAGATTCCCAGTATTGTGTGATTTTCCACCATTTTGTCATCTGATGTGATTTTCCTATGTTGTAAATCCTACCTCTACAATGTTGATGAGATGGGATTAGCAGCAGTTTTGTTAATGAGGCAGGATTCAATCTACAAGATTAGGTTGGGTTTTAATCCAATCTCTCTTTTTTTATGCTTATGGTTATAATTTTTTTTTATTGTACTTTAGATGAAGTTTTAAAAAATAGTTTCTCATTAAAAAGTTAGTACACATATTGCTTTATGACATTGGTTAACAACCCAACGACATGTCAACACTCTCCCTTCTCGACCTTGGGTTCCCTATTACCAGTTTTCCTGTCCCCTCCTGCCTTCTAGTCCTGACCCCTGGGCTGTTGTGGCTTATTAGTCTCATTCTGTTTTATGGGCTGTCTAATCTTTGGCTGAAGGGTGAATCTCGGGAGTGACTTCATTACTGAGCTAAAAAGGTGTCCAGGGGCCATACTCTTGAGGTTTCTCCAGTCTGTGTCAGACCAGTAAGTCTGGTCTTTTTTGTGAGTTAGAATTTTGTTCTACATTTTCTCCAGCTCCGTCCGGAACCCTCTGTTGTGATCCCTGTCAGAGCAGTCAATGGTGGTAGCCAAGCACCATCAAGTTGTACTGGACTCAGTCTGTGGAAAAGCCAGTCTCTTTTGAGATATAAAAGAAGTGAGCAGAGAGACATGGGGACCTCATACCAAGAAAGCAGCACCAGGAGCACAGTGCGTCCTTCGGACCCGAGGTTCCTACACTGAGAAGCTCCTAGTCCAGGGGAAGATTGGTGACAAAGATCTTCCTCCAGAGCCAACAGAGAGAGAAAGAGTTCCCCTGGAGCTGACACCCTGAATTTAGACTTATAGCCTACTAGACTGTGAGAGAATAAATTTCTCTTTATTAAAGTCATCCACTTGTGGTATTTCTGTTATAGCAGCACTAGATAACTAAGACAGGGCCAAATACAGGAAATCATTCCCATTTTTTCGACCATTTTATTTTCAAAGTCTTGGTTCTCAAAGCCACTAGGATTCCAGGTTAACCAAAGTGGCATGTAATTGTAATATCCTCACAAGAAACTAAAGATATTAAAATTGTTCAGAAAAAGAAACAAGAAAAAAGAGGAAAGGAGAAAGTTCAAAGGGAGAAGAACACAGAAAAGGAGAAGAAAAAGAGGAGAGGAAGAGAAAGAGAGGACAAAGCAGCAGAAAAGAAACAATCATAGATCAAGTGTAGTTGATCCCTGAGTAAAGAGACTACACATTTATGTGTTAATGAACTTGTTGAATACCCTAGATCAGGGACCTTCTTGCAAGAAAAGAATGTTTGATATAGTAACTGTCTCAGTCCTCTAGTGCTGCTCCAACAGAAATACCACAAGTGGATGGCTTTACAAAGAGAAATTTATTCTCTCACAGTCCAGTAGGCTACAAGTCCAAATTCAGGACATCAGCTCCAGGGGAATGTTTTTTCCATTGGCTCTGGAGAAAAGTCCATGTCATCAGTCTTCCTTTGGTCTGGGAGCTTCTCTGCGCGGGAACCTCAGGTCCAAAGGACGCACTCTGCTCCCAGCACCACTTTCTTGGTGGTATGAGGTTCCCATGTATCTCTGCTCGCCTCTCTCTTTTATACCTCAAAAGAGATTGCATCAGGACACTAATCTTGTCAACCTCATCACAGTGACAGAATATACAACACATGAGGAGATCACATATAATCTCATCATAGTGGTAGAGTTCACAACACATAAGGAAATCACATCAGATAACACAATCATACAATACTGGGAATCATGACCCAGCCAAGTTGCTACACACGTTTTTTGGGGGACACAATTCAACCCATGACAGTAACATAACAGAACGTAACGAAATGTTATTCTTGTAAGGATTTAATTCAAGGTATTTTCTAGGCCAGACAGGAAGGTAAGATAGAGTCACAAATTTACTTAGATTATTATACCAAACATAATCAAGATTTTTGACATTACAAAAGTAATTAAAAGTTTTGTTTTTTTATCTAGTCAGAAAAATTTGTTTTAAGTGTGCTAAAATTCAAATTGATGTTTAGAAAACAGTCAAATGAAGATGGTTAGATTGCTTCACTGAATCTGTTATGGTATTCAAAAAGATAAAATAGCTCTTCAACTTTGTTGTTGTTTTTATTAGGTGTCTTCTAGATACTTCGTACTCATAGCAACCCTATGTACAACAGAAGGAAATGCTACCCAGTCCTGCACCATGCTCACAGTAGTTGCTATGTTTGAGCCCATTGTTGCAACCACTATGTCAGTCCATCTCATTGAGGGTCTTCTTTTTTTTTTCATTGACCCTTTGCTTTACCAAGCATGATGTCCTTCTACAGGGACTAGTCCTTCCTCATAATATGTCCAAAGTAGGTGAGATGAAGTCTTGCTATCCTGGCTTTTAAGGAGCATTCTTGCTGTACTTCTTCCAAGACAGATTTGTTTGTTTCTCTGGCAATCTATGGTATTCTCAATGTTCTTCACCTATATCATAATTCAAATGCATTAATCTTCTTCAGTCTTTCTTATTCATTGTCCAGCTTTCACATGTATATGAGTTGTTTGAAAATACCATGGCTTGTATCAGGTGCGCCTTAGCCCTCGAAGTGGAATCTTTGCTTTTTAAGATTTTAAAGAAGTCTTTGGCAGATTTGCCCAATGCAATACATCATCTGATTTCTTGTGTCTGCTTCCATAGACCTCGACTGTGGATGTGAGTAAAATGAAATCCTTGACAACCTCAATATTTTCTCAATACATTGAAGAATTTGTCATTAAAAACAACAATAATAGCAACAACAATCCAGCAACACCTAATCCAATCTATTTCAGGTGTTATATAAATTATTTTTCCTTAAGCCATGTGAGTGTTAGTAAATAGAGAGGCTCTGGTTGGAATTAATGCTTTGGAAGTTTTTATCGTAAGAACTGCACGCTATTCCATAATATTTGGAAGAGAATATGGCCTTACGGACTTCAATGATCCCTACTAAGTGATGCAGAATGTCTTTCCTCTGTTCCTCCCTAATCTTTAGAAGCGTGCCTGGAGTAAACGTTAGAAACATACATCTGATCAGGATACGTCTTGGTTTATACTACTTCAATGGCTATCCATCGTCTTTGAACTAAAGGCATATAAATTAATAATAAACAAATACCACGCCTTCCAGGATTTAGGCACTTTCTTTCACAGTGCCATTTCCTTAGCTGTCCCATGAAAGCTGTGTTCCAGACATTTTAAACTATTCATAAGCAATTCTTAAACACGTTATCTCTCTGCCATCTGCTTCTGTGTTTTGCACATGCTGTTCCTGCCCTTTGGAAGGCCCTGGATGGGTAACTGATCAGCCACCCAGGCCACAGCTCAAACATCACTTCCTCTGTGAACCATCTCTTATTTCTCCAGACAGAATAGATCTCGTTGTGCTGATTTCAACTTTCCAAAATTCTGGGATTGAACTTTTCATGTTCCTTCTGGTATTCTGTGGGGATATATGCCATTTAAACATGGCTGCACTATTGACAACTGCAGCCCCCACAGGCCTCTATGCTGTATATGACATGTTGGAGACTTGTCAGCGATGAGAAAGAGATTAGGCACGACTTGTTTTCCCAAACCTATTGTCCTGTTACTGATTGGCTTGTTTACCTGAATTCCTTCTCCCTTGCCCGAAACTTATTGTTACTCACCCAAAGCCCATTGTTCTGTTATTTGCTTCACTGCTTGCTGTACTGACTATAAAATAAACTCCTGGGACTGAAGCCGGGGTTCGACTCCTCAGAGTGACCCTCCTGGCCCCACTTCTCTGTAAGAGTTGTGGCATTGGTTATTGTCTCTGCTGCCCCGACAACCGTTGCCGCTGCAACAGATGGTGCCCCGTGTGAGGACGCCGTGACAGTATTCTTTTTAAAATATTTTTCTTCTTCACTATATTATAATTTTCTTGAAGATAAAGCCTGTATCCTGTTTCCTTTTATACCAAGTGCTGATCCCAGTACCTCACAATTACAATTGCACATCATTGAAAATTCCTAATTAGTATCTTACTCCAGTGGACAAAGAACTGATTACTGGTTTCTCTGGCTTGAAAATAATTTTTCCTAAACTTTAATTTCTTCATTAAGTGCATGAATGGAAGATAACATTCACATTCTGTAAGATTTCCAGCCATGGAAGTTGTAGTGGACATCTGTGGCTTGGACTGCCCAGCATCCCACCCTTCTTCCTTCTTTTACAGAGGCACTCAACTTTTTCCTTTGCGGAATAAGCTCCAGTTTGTTTCTTGTGGGCTTGATAGTAACATAAATTAAGAATTTTATGGTGTTTGCTCCATGTTGTCTTAAGTTGTGTGACCACCTGACTCAAGTAATGCCAATTAGATTCCCTCTCCTGGAAAACTGAATCTTGATACAAGGAAGGAAAATATGTGGAGTCAAACTATTGCAGTAACAGCACCATAGAGGGTCATTCCAATAGTTCCTGATCTTTAGATCCTGGGAGTAATGTTGGTTCCTTTCCAAGGCCAGATTATTATAATTTTTCAATTCTTTAAGCTGCCCAGTGTCCTTCCAGTGATTTTTATGTTACTCAAGTTTACTAGAGTAAAATGAAGGACTTATCACATAGACAGGATGAAATGTTTTATTTCAAGAATTTGCCAGCCTTTGTTATTTTTATCATGAGCAATTTCTGCACAGGGCATAGCAATGTAGCTCTATACAGTCTTTCCATTATTGCAGATTTAGACGAAAACTCTATGAGTTATTTCATTCATTTTATTTCCTTTTCAGTTATAAAATTTGTAGACTGTTGTGAATTACCTCTTGCTTCTCCTCATCACCCAGGGATCTCATCTACGTGCTATTTATACCTTTGTCTAGATCATCGGCCAATTTGACAATCACCCTTCCTACTAACCACATTTCAAGTTAATATTTTTTTTGTCAGCAATGAGTCTCTTCACTGGGGTCCCTATAAGGCCAGACAGTTGATGAGAAATCAATAGCGTGCATTTATCAAGTCAGGCATTGGTGTGCACTTTATGTTTATGAAAGAGTAAAATGAATGAATTTGCTTGCATTAAAAGGAAATTATTACTCTTTTACTCAGAAAAGACTGAATTTCTTACATTTAACTCCTTTCATCGCCTTTCAAATAAAAAATAAGAGAATGGTCTTTGTTCTCCCATGAGCAGGTCACTCATTCAGCTGTTGTTATTCTTCCTAAGAGGCTGTGAACACTGGCTTCCAGGGCAGGACCTGGGAGGAAGAGTTAAGCTATGCACAGCATGCAAAACAGAAAAGGATGATGTTGAAATTAAATCAGGCCAACTAGAAAACTTAAGTAGAAGTACCCCTTAAAAACATAAAAATATTCACAATGAACTCTCTAATAGTTAATGTACTGACCTGAAATAAAAATTAGAACTGCAGTGCCATTAAAACAAATTCTAAGAAAAAGAGAAACTCAACTTACCCAGAGAGAAGAGCTTTATTGGCATAGATTTTTTTTCTTTAATTTGGAAATGTGCGGTTTACTTTACCTCAAATATGATAAAAACAATTAAGAACCATATTAAACCCTGCATTCTCTAGATGTTGCATTTCTGTGAACTATAAATGCTAAATATAAAAGAGGAAAAAAGAGTGACTCTTGCTTGTGCCTAACTCAATGGTTCAAGTTAATAAGACTATAATGTGCACATTCTGAGTTATACAGTATTTTTCATAAAAATATATGCTATGGAGACATCTATTAAAAACCTAAAGTGATCATTGAAATGTGAAACCCCTGATACAAATCCATCATATTTTTCATACTAAATTAACATTACAGGCTTCTAATGGATGCTTTCATTAGGCATGGATGTTATCAGCAATACTTGGCAGAATAAAATCCGTCACTGAGAAATATTCATTAAATTCAATTTCTGTCAGTCAGTATTACCTGTTTTCTGAACCTTTTGGTTTCATTGAGAAGCTAAAGGCTAAGTGAGTAACTAAAAATCCCCAGTCAAACCTCCTTCTTATGTGCCATACGAAAATATGTGGTCATTAGGTGTTTTTGCAAACAACTGGCTTCTCTTTTGTCTTTTATGCTCAGAGGCACTCCATTAGAAGGTTCTCCTAATGCCCCCTAGAATGAAAAACAAAATGTCTACACTCACATACATACATATCCTTCATGAGGCAACTCCAGTGAGATGTGTCTGTGTGTGCGTTAGTATGAACCATTAGAAGAATTCCACGGTCAGTGGAGACAAACGGAGAAAATTAGAGAGAGTCAGGGAGTCAAAGGAGATGCTGAGACAGAAAAGGGATACAAGAAACATCTGCGCAGAACACAAAGTAGATAACCACAAGCTATGGCTGACCAACGGTGGGAAATTCAGGTGAGATGCTTACCGGTTTTTTCCCCATTGATCGTCAGGGTAGGATGGCAGTTTAGAAGGATAGCACGTAAATCATCTCCTCGAGAAATATGTGTCAGTCTCATGGGAGCAGAGGTCAGGGCTGCAAGATGAGACAGAGACAAGGCCTTGTCATTGGAATTGAAAGAAAATGGACATCTGTGGGACTTTTATTCATGGTGTTGATAATCTATCATAAAGTGTATTATAGAGAAAAGACTTTCCAACTCTAGTGAAGTAAAATCAAAGAGCTTCATTGAAGTCAATATGTCATTCCTGTGGGGAATTCATGAAAACCTGAGGAATCTGAAACTTATGAATTGCAAAGGGAGGGGTACAATTCATCTATAGTTATACTCCCATATGAGGAACTGCAAACAATGTTCAGATGGGTTTGTAATGATTGAGGTCAGTCAAAGGCAGAACAAAGCAAAGCGTGGCCTTTGACATTATTGGTTATGTTAATACGACTAGGCTACGTTGTTTGGCTAAAAGACATAACTGCAAGATACGTGGTCACAGAGGGTTTCTCATGACTGATCACATACAATGACTTGATGGATACATTTGTCACAAGCAATGGCGTGATGGCTACTTTCAGGAACAGTGTTAGTGAACATTATCTTGCCCAGAGCACAAGATCTCCTGGTGAGATTTAACACGAGGGTTTGATAAGCTGTAAGTACAAATTTACAGTCTTAACTACAAAGCCTTAGTAATAGGGTTGATTTCTAAGCAACAAGATTTGAATCTGTGTAAAAAGTTACCCCCCAGCTTTTAACATTAATTTAGCTTTTTTTTTTTTAGGCCAGATGCTACTTTTGATTTTATATCCCATATCATGTTTATTTTGCCATTTGAAATTTATTTCAAGGGTTTGAATTAAATAAGCAAAGAAACAAAAATAGAAAAATTAATGATTTTCCATGGAAGCTAAGTGACTTCCAAAGGTGAGAATTTAGAGAGGAGAAGAGCAGAGCTTGTATTTTCAAGTGATCTCTACACTAAGAATATGAGAATCATTGTAAAAAAAAAAAAAAAAAGGAATGCATATATACTTATGGCTATATGTCTCCAAGATATAAAATTCTGTTACAACTGTAGGATTTATAAATGAAAACATCACCTAATTGTGTATTGCCTTAAAAGACAAAGAAAGCATAATGAGTTAAACTCAGGTTAAACCATCTTGCTTAGGTAAATACTAGGGATATTTTAAAGAATTCAAAGAAATATTTAAAAATAAGAGAGGTAATTTATGAGGGTTTTGGCATCATCCTGTCTTTCTTAAAGCAACTTTTCACACAGAGTGTGTTCAGCGACATTTTAAATATACTGTAACGATGGGAGCAAAGTGACTCAACCAGTTCAGTATCTTTTGGGTTTCTACCACCTGCTTTCTCAGTCTCTATGCTTTGACACCACCACCCATCTGTCAGTTTGTTATATGATACTGGAAGCTATGCCACCAGTATTTCAAATACCAGCAGGGTCACCCATGGTGGACAGCTTTCAGCAGAGCTTCCAAACTAAGACTGACTAGGAAGAAAGTCTTAATGATTTACTTATAAAAATTAGCCAGTGAAAACCCTGTGGATCACAACAGAATATTGTCCTATAGAGTGCTGGAAGATGGACACCTAGGTTGGAAGGAAATACACAATGGTCACAATGATGGACTCAAATACCAATGATCATGAAGATGGATCTCTTCCAGTCAATAGGCCAGGAAGCTGCCTTCCAAATTTCTTGACATAGAGGAGGGAGCACATCCAGTGCTGCATCTGTTTGCTGAAACATCTCAATTGGTATTCCATCAATTCCTGGAGCCTTGTTTTTTGCCATTCTCTTCTGGTAGTGCAGGGGTTAAGTGTTCAGCTGTTAACCAAGAAGTTGAAAGCTTGATCCACCAGCCGCTACTGCTACTTGGAAACCCTACAGGGCAGCTCTACTGTAGCCTATAGAGTTGCTATGAGTCAGAATCAACTAGATCGCAATAGGTTAGGTTTTTTGGTTTTTTTCAGTGCAGCTTAGACCTCTTCCTTACCATCGGTTCTTGATTATACACTACCTCCTGAAATGATTGAACATCAACTCATTCTTTTTGGTACAGCGAATCTGTTTATTCCTCCCATCTTTTGATGCTTCCTGCATCATTCAATATTTTGCCCATAGAATCCTTCAATATTGCAACTCAAGGTTTTTTCTTCAGTCATTTCATCTTGATAACTATTGAGTTTGTTCTTCCCTTTTGATTTTCTAACTCCAGATCTTTGTACATTTCATTATAA